TTTTTAATTCATGAGGTATCTTTTATATGTATTTATTAGCCAATCATACTGTGACTTTCCTGTTTGTTTCTTTTGCCCATTTTCTCCACCTGCTAATTTATGAATACACACGCATACTCTAGGTCTTGATTCTGTTGTTATTTTATATATAATATCCTTTTCCTGGAGAGTAACTTTTTAAAGTACATTCATGATTTTTCTGATACTGATAGATTTCCCCCATACTATTATATTATATTAGGGCATTGCCAGTATCAGTCTAACCATAACCTGGTAATCTATTTATATTTTTAATAGTATGTGAGATTTCTATGTATTCAGTGAGATTTCTATAAATGGAAATGAATTTTCTTTTTAAATCATTATTTCTTTACTTTTATTAAAATAAATATGATTATGTCAAGTATTGGGGTAATAGCCAGTATCTTAATTGTTTAACCAGTTTAATGGAAATAAGTACAATATTTTACCATTCAACTAATATTTACTTTGTTATATGCAAGTATGCTCTATAATTAGGGCTAACTTCTTTTTTCTTTTCAAATGCCATCATATCTTTTGCTTTGTTCATATATCATTCTCCTTTCTATTTTAATAATTCATACTGATTTCTTGTTTTAAACAATTTCTGAAATATAATATGCTCAGTTGTGACATATTATTGTTTTGATAAGCTGCTCAATTTATCTTACGAATATTTTGTTCAGGATTTTTGTACAAATATTCAAAATTGATATTAATATTATTAGCATTCATATATTAACATTCAAAATTAATAACATTTTAAAATTTTTGTTATTGCCATTATTTGTTTATTAAAAATTAGATAACATTTGGCTTTAAACCTATATGGTCCTGTTTTTTATTTATTTTGTTTTCCTTTTTACAGTTTTAATGTTGGATTGTTAACCACTTTTCCAAAATCACCTGATACTCTACTATTTGAATTTCTACTTTATATGGAAGCAACAGATTAACTGAACTGAATACCTGCCCCAGGTGCAATGCCTTTGAGCACTGCACATCATGGTTTTACCACTGGCTTCCACATAAAAGAAGCATCCCCACATGAACCCCTCAATGAAAATCAAGCATTACGTGTTCTTGGCAATACAGTGTTGGGAGCTCAGACCTCTTTGGCAAGAATATGAAATGCAATGCTGCTTAGACTTGTTTGGATACTTGCCAGCAGACCTCTTGAGAATGATAGATTCTTTTTTTTCTTTTGAGACAGTGTCTTGCTCTGTTGCCCAGGCTGGAGTGCACTGGCGAAATCTCAGCTCACTGCAACCTCTGCCTCCTGGATTCAGGCAGTTCTCTTGCCTCAGCCTCCCAAATAGCTAGGACTACAGGCACGTGCCACCACGCCTGGTTAATTTTTGTATTTTTAGTAAAGACAGGGTTTCACCTTGTTGGCTGGGCTGGTCTTGAACTCCTGATCTCATGATCCACCTACTTTAGGCTCCCAAAGTGCTGGTATTACAGGCATGAGCCACTGTGCCTGGCCTGATAGATTGTTTAACATATGAAAAATTGTAATGGAGGCTGAGTAAATATCTACTAATAGTTTTATTTCCCCATGTTAAAGTTATAATTTGTCACATAATTAGCATTGATTGCATTAAATATTAAGCAATTGACATTCCTCTAGATCTACACTGTTAGATACACTAGCCACCAGCTACATGTGGCTATTTTAAATTAATTTAAATTTAATAAGACATAAAATTGAGTTCATCAGTAGGACTAGCCACAATTAAGTGTTCAATAGCCATGTGTATGGGACTTTACAGATACAGTAGTCCCCCCTTTATCTAATGTTTTCTTGTTAATCTCTTGCTGTGTCTAATTTATAAATTAAACTATCATAAGTACATATGTATAGTAAAAAAATAGTATATGGAGGGTTTCGTGCCATCCTTGGCTTCAGGCATCCCCTAGGGGGTCTTGAAACAACCCTGCAGATGGAGGAAAACTACTGTATACAATGTTTCCATTATTACAAAACTTTCTATTAGATAGGAATATTCTGAATACTTACATTCTATTCACATAAAAAAGAATCTTATGGACTTAGCAAATTAAATATTGTCAACTACTTAATTATTTGCAAAATTAATTGAGCAATTTTAGGTATATATTAAAAATCATAGGCTGGGTGTGGTGGCTCATGCCTTTAATTCCAGCCCTGTGGGAGGCCAAAGAAGGAGTATTGCTTAAGGTCAGGAGTTGAAGAACAGACTGGCAACATAATGAGATACTGTGTCTACAAAAAAAATAATAAATTAGCCAGGTGTACTGGTGTATGCCTGTAGTCCCAGCTACTCTGTAGGCCAAGGCAGGAGGATTGCTTGATCCCCGGAGTTTGAGGTTGCAGTGAGCTGTGATGGCGCCACTGTACTGCATCCTGGGCAACAGAGTGAGACCCTGTCTATAAAAAAGAAAAAAAATGTATTAATTTTGATCAGATACTTGAAAGCATCTTAAATATTTCAAAGTGGAAACAATATACAAAAAAGTATCTTAAATGATGAGCAAATTTAAAAAATACCTTATTAAAGCATTGGTTTATATTTTCAACACTCCTCATTGTGTATCATGTTTTCCTGGTGTTCTGCATCTCTTGTAACTTGACTGGATGCTAAACATTGAAATGTTACCTTGCCAGGTCTTCTGGTATATTTTCCAGTATTTTTGAACTTTGTTTTGAAATACAGTTCATGTACTCCAGTATGTGATCAGTTTGCTCCTTTTCAAGGGTTCTTTTTCAGCTTTGATAGACAGGACCAGAGCAAGGCTAATTAGTCCAAAGCTAATTTTTCCTCTTTGTTAAGACAATACCCTTCTGAGTACCCGAGGTCTTGTGCATTATGAGGGTTTTTCTACTTTGGCTATTGGTAACACCTGCTATTCCTGGACTTGCGTGAGCTATGAGGATCATTCCCTCTATTCATTTCAAGTGAGTTTTTCCACAGCTTCAGGTGTTTTCACACAGGAGCTAACTGATCCGTACTTTGAGCTGAAGATTCAAGGGAACTCCCTGGCAGCTGTCCAGTGATCTGTTCATGGAGGTTGTTCCTGTCTAGTGCTTTGTTTCACATACCCGGGCTTCCACAAACCCCCAAGTTTGTGTCTCAATTCAGGAAGAACACTGGGCACTGCTTCTGTTAACTCTCCCTGAACAATGGATTGAAAATATTCCAGATGTTAAGTTGGGAGAAATAATAGCGCTTACCTTGGTGGTTTCTGCGATTGGGGATCATGGTCTGCTTATTGTTCAGCATCTGAAAATTGTCATTCTAAATATTTTTTTTTTTTTTTT